AACCTATGAGTTATGACGAACTTGAAAAAAAGTTATTTGATACTCTCAATGCTAAAGAAGTTCTCAATAAGGAATGTGAGAAGTTTTTATCATTCTACGATGAGCTGGATTATCTACTTAGCTAGTATATATTTTAATTTGGCTATATTTTTTTTATCTCAAATAGCTTCTTTTTCATAAAATGCAATTAGTTCTTCTTGACTAATATTTGAGCCTTCTGAGCCTGGCTCAGACAGAATTGGTTCAGCCCCTTGATCTTCGATCTCACCTTTCTTGACAAAGTTGAGAGGTGGAATTGATTTGTTATCCAAATTTTTTTCCGAATTTATGAGAAAAAAGTGTAAATCTATTGGCGGATGAACCCCTCTCCAAATTTGATATACTCATCATATTGAAATTTTGTATTTATTAGCTATAGCTTCTGGTGCCTGCTTCATTGAATTTTTGGCTTTAATAATATCCTGAATATTTTCAGTAGATAGGGGAGTGGCATCTGAACGTAAATACCAAAGCATTTTTTTTATAAATAAACAAAAAATTTATCGAAAAATTATTGGTATATTTTTGATAAATTTTTGGTATTATCGATATATTATCGATATATTTTCAGTATTATCAATATATATCAATATAATTTCGGTATTATCGATATATTTTCAAAAAAAAAAATAGTTATCTTTTATTAATATATTTTGACCCATAAGAAAATGTGAGCTTAAAGAAAAACTATATTCTGCACTTAGATCTAAGGCCGAAATTAATGATCTTAGTGAGAAGTTGCTAACTAAGTATTTAGAGCAAGAGAAAAATCTTCAGCATCTTCGAGCAATGAAATTGCTCGAAGCCAGATATATAGATAATCTGAATATATCTTTTTTCGAATTTATGAGAAAAAAGCAGGTAAGGCTTTATGAGAAGGAAGATGGTATTTATTATTTTAAGCTTGCTCTTTGATCCTTTTTTTCTTAGCTCTTAATTGGAAATCACAGAAAGTCAAGACCAAATCTGAATCTGAATCTGAATCTGATAGTTTTTTACCCAACTCAAGACCAGTTTGCTCTTCTATATAATTTTCTATCCAGTCCCGCTTTTTTTTTGCAAGCTCAAAAAAAGATATATAGTTAACTAATATATTAAAAAATCTGATAACTAACTATATCTGGCTTCGAGCAAGTATTGCGAGAAGGCAGGACAATTTTACTATTTTTTTTAACTTTTTATACTGGGAATAATATTCACTCAGTCTTGTTTGGTGCTTATATATTTTATGTACCATTTTTTTAGTATTATATATATAAATATTAAATAAATTAAAAAAAACGAATTGCCAAGGTGAGATACTGTGTCACTAGGGCGCAGTATGTGGCACAGTATCCATATTGGGTAGAGTCTGGACATAGTGTCCGAGCTCGTTAAATTGGATTAGCATCTAGTTAAATTTTTTGAATAAAAATATATTGATAACAAATATATTTTAACTATTTATAATTGGCTAAGCCGGCTTACAAGTATTGCGAGAAGGCAGTAGGAATGTTTCAAGTTGGTATTTGGCCTGTCTTCTCGTGATTCTCACTCAAGCTTGTGAGAAAAATCTTATTGGAAGAAGTGTGACATTCAATATCATAGCTAAACCAATAAAATCTCAAGAAATTTTTCACTAGTCTAGTTTATAGCGATAAGCTAGCTAAGTAAGACGTATATTTGTTTTGATACTTTTCTGGGAGCTTGGCTCTCATGGCTTTTTTTTCAGCCTCTTCATTAGATATACCATTCTTAACCATATTCTTATAAGCTTTATTACACCAATGAAAATATAGCAAAGAAGTAATTTCATCTGATAGAATCCAGCGCTTAGTATCTATTGGGCATAGAGCTTTCTTTTCTGATTCGACCAAAGATAATATATGATTCTTTGACTGGATATCTATATTCTTGGTATGGAATACTTCCTTACTGAATAGATAGTCTCGATAAACTTGGGTCATTGGATCGAAAACTTTAGTATTGTCTACTGGATCCTCTAGTAGAGTTCTATCTAAAGATGGGAAATATGTATCGGTAGCTATTTTATTCATACTCTTTTTGCTTACTCCTTTATGCTTAGACTTTGTAGACTTATCTGTTAAAACATAGTGGTATGACTTGGCCTGGATATGATAAGATTCTGTAATTACGTTGCCTGGAGTCTCATTTTTAAAAAGCCCAATAGTCTTAGAATTATTAAGATCAAAAAGGTCTGGTTGCTTAGCCATGTCCTTATATATATCTTCAGTTTCAACTTGGAATATGAATAAGTCTATGTCCATATATCCGAGCTGGGCTTTATTACCATATCTCTCTTTTACATACCCATACCAAAAACAATACATCAAGAGCTTGCTAAGACCCAGAACTGATGCTCCGACAATAATGGGCTTGTTGAGAGTTACAGTGGCCTTTC